TCTATTTTCAAATTTCTCCAAATAATTTAAAGGTTTTTCAAAAATCTTAATTTTGATTACGGGAAGTTTCAGCAATTTGCCTTAAGGCACAACATATATGTACCACTAGTTTTTTATGTAATTTATATATATCTAAGAATTGATTGTAATTCAAGTATCGAACCGTATAAACAAAATTATTATTACTAAAATTATTTTTGCAATTTGTCGTATATGTCTTATATGTCGTATATGTCAAGCTCGTATAACCTAATATAAATATGTTTTAACGTCGCAGAAGGTATCAAGTTCAATAAATGAATAAATAAATAATTAAATAAATAAATAAATATATATATATATTATATATATATATATATATATAAACACGCATATAAAGTATTTTCTAATAAAATAGCTTACTTTTTTATAATAAATAGTGTCACAAAATTAAAGTTCTCTAACCGGTCGTTGAATCAAGACGGTGTGAACTCGCCCTTAGTCACCGTTCAGCCTATATTGGCACTGACCAATTAATAAATCTGTGAGTCACTCTTATTAACATAAACTTAATAAACCTACGAGAACAGATTGAATCTGCAGGTAAAGCGTTAATGACTTTCACCTGATTCCAGCTGTGATGTAACATTTATAAATCTATGCAGAAACCAATGGACTGTGTATGTTTTATGCGATGTATGAGCGCAAGGACGCGACAAAAACAAAAACAATTACGAAATCGTTTTAACCTAATTAAATGCGATAAACGACAATTCAGAAAATCTCAGATGACTGCAGTCGTTGAAGTTTGTTTGGATTAACTTGATATAAGACAATAGTGCGTGTAATGTAATACACAGTTGTAAATGTAGTTAAATGATCCAATATCTTTTTCAAAATATTAGGTTTTTTAACTTCTCGTAAAAGTTTGTTTACTCCAGAAAATCCGACTTGGTAATTTTATGTTTTCTCCGCGTTTTAGAATTTTCTAAATCGTTTGGCATCAATTTTGGAAAAAGTGTGTGTGGTGCATGTGAGCAAAATTCCATTTTTGTGGATGTTTTCCAAAAACGATTGCACCGATTTAGAAAATTTATAAGATATTAGTTTTGCGCAAAGAACGGCCGAATCATTTTTTCTTACTATCAGATAAGTGCAGTAATTTTTTTTGTAAGCGGTTTTGTCAAAAATCTCGAACCAATATTGAAAATTCGACAGCGAAAGAGATCAGTTGGCAATCCACGTTTTTGGGCGCACGGATCAACCGATTTGAATGGTTAAAAATATTCGATTTCTATTGATAGGGAGATGTGCTTTTTAGTTTTTAGCAAAGGCAGGTCCAGCCGTTTTAAGATACGGAGCAATGAGTGCAAAAAATTAAAATCGTGTTTTTGATTCGACATCTAATTTAAATGATCCAAAAATATTGAATTTGTAATGATGGGGAGAAGTGGTGTTTGGATTTTGGCAAAGCTAGGTATAGCCGTTTCGGAGATACCGAGCTAAATATGCAAAAATGGCAGTTTTTGAGAGAACTAAGCATCTGATTTGAATGATTCAAAATTCTTTTCGTCAAGTATTCAAAATACTTGTCAAAAAAATTGCTTTTGGTAAAAGACTTTTTTTTCTTATTTTTTTTTTTAATTTTCAAAAAATATTTTTTTTACTAAATTTTTGCCCGTAGCTTTGCAATGCCATACACCACTATTTTTTGGTCAAGATCGGGTCATTTTTCCGTAATTGTTCAAAATTTTTATCTGACGTTAATGGAACTTTGCTTTGTAGTTCGTGTTCATGGTCATCGAAAACATCCTAAAATTATAGGCCTATATAAATTGGTTTATTATCATAGTTTCCACATATCACTTCTTATTAATTCTAATATGTAGTTTTACCGAGAAGTTCATGCAATTTGCCTTAAAATAAAATGCCACTTAAACCAAGTGGTTTAGTTTTCATAATCTAATCTTAAATTTTCAAACCGACAGCAAAGGGTTTCTCCCAAAGTGAATGAAACAGAGGTAAATGCTTAGTCACGTAGTTAAGTGAACTAATAAATTAATCTAGATAACAAATTTATTAATTTTAAATAATTCATTACTCTACAATTAAATATTTTAGCATAATCATGCAGCAACAAATATAAGTGCATATGAACGACTAAAGCTGATGTAAATAGAATTAAATTTGAGTAATACGACATAAGCACTTCAAATAGCGTGATTCATTAAACAATAGTCTATTTTTAATAAATAAATATATGTAACTAAACAGAAAATCACATAAACAAATTAACAAACAAGTGTACTTGATCTTGATTTGATCTCATAAACTTTTGTTTTATCAGTTTCCAAAAAAGCAACAAAGATATGCAGACTTAATTTATTTTCGAGTACTACGTCATAATCATTACAGAGCAAAATTAATTGCGCAAATTTCCACACTTGTGTACACGATTCGTAAATGAGTTGGATAAATTTGCTCCATAAATAACTATTGTATTTAATATATTTTTAAATTCATTGATTAGAACATATGGTGGACAATTTTAGGTGAATAAGATTAGAATTTTTAACTTCAATTTATTTCTTCTCTTTATTAATTATCATCTGCCTTACACAATGTAAAATAAGACTTTCAGTAATTCTAACTTAAATTTAATAGAGATTAATCATTCATCAATATTCACTTCCTTTCTCTAATAATATATCAATTTCGACCAAAAACAACCATTTTAAGTGAATGAATAATACAAGAAAATTTGATATCTGATAACAATTTATAGAATCATTTTTATTTTATCATTTAATGAAGAAAACCAAATTTGAACAAATAAAGAATTAATCGATCAAATGGCGTAAAAAAAATAATTTTAATTTTATGCGTTCGGAAAATGATTTATTCAGGGTTAGTTATTATAGTTTTCAAGGGTTTTGAGCATTTTGGAATTTTTTTAGAAAAAATACATGTGTATGTGTGTGTGTATGTATGTATGGATACAATTTTTCGTCCATGTTTTCGGTCGCACAGATCAACCGATTTAAATGGTTCAAAGAACATTCGATTCCTATTGATAGGGAGATGTGCTGATTAGATTTTGGCAAAAGTCGCTCTAGCCGTTTTGGAGTTACGGAGCAAAGAGTGCAGAAAATAGAAATCGAGTTT